GGGGCAGGATCACATCCTTTGACCTGCTGGTCACACTCCTTTTGGTGCAGCCCAGGATACGGTTGGCTCTCTGGGCTATGAGTGCACACTAAAGCTGGCTCATGTTCATTTTCTCATCAACCAGCACCTCCAAATCCTTCTCAGCAGGGCTGCTCTGAATCTCTTCTCTGCCCAACCTGTAGCTGTGCCTGGGATTGCTCCGACCCACGTGTAGGACCTTGCACTTGGCATGGTTAAGCTTCATGAGGCTGGCATCAGCCTACCTCACAAGTGTGTCAAGGTCCCTCTGGATGGCATTCCTTCCCTCCAGTGTATCAACCGAACCACACAGCTTGGTGTCATCAGCAAACTTCCTGAGGGCGCACTCAATCCCATTGCCCATGCCACTGTCAAAGGTGTTGAACAAGACCGGTCCCAACACCTATCCCTGAGGGACACCACTTGTTAGTGGTCTCCAGCTGAACACTGAGCTAAGCCAAAGAATAAAAGTTTATTAGAACATTATTTCTAAAAATATTGCTAAATCTAAATTAGAAAACAGCTTCTGGTCACCCTTCTTTGCGTAATATTTAATTTTGTCCAACTTTATGCCTTTGTAAGGCAGACAAGATTGTCAGAAGAGAATGACGACAACGAAAGAATTAACTGTATTTATTTGACACTCACTGTTATAGTGGGCACAGCATGTCTTCCCTGTATCTGATAACAAATCAATTGCTAGATAGGAGTAAGAAGTTTCACATAACTCTGTGATTACAATTAAATTATCTTTACAGGCAAAATTAAACATTAAAAGTGAAAATTACAGACAAGTAGCAATCACTGTAGTCCAGACCTTCTGAATGCTGTACAAGCCTGAATGCAAAGCAGATTATTTAATTTCTAACTTGGAGACAGATGTAACTTGGAGACAGATCTTTCCTTTTTGTATGTAGTGGTATATTCTAGCTTCTTTACTAATTACTGAGGATGTGCAGATCCCATTATGGGATCTACAAAGAAATACAGAGAACATGTGGACAAGCAGGAGCACAAGGAGAACACTGGGCTTGGCTCCTCAATGAAGCTTGAATTGCCAAGTACCACCAGAATGGTAGAAGCTGTACATTTTCTAGCAAACATTTTACATCATCTCACAAGAACCAACTATCATTTTATTCTAGGTCACATGTATACAAATCTAAGTCTCTCCAACTTCTGAAGTTGTAAAAGTTTATTGAAATAAATTAGTGACCACTTCAAGAGCATTTTTCTGAATGCACACAAAGACCTAATATTAGCTAAGAAATCGTACACCCTGTTACACAAGTGCTTTGACCGTAAGTACAGACAAACTCTCCTGCTTATTTACACTATACTTAATTATTAACTGGCAGTGAAGAGCGAAGTTACACCATGTTTGATTTCTAGAAGAAAAGCTTAATAATAATTATAGGAAATCCAATCCCTTTTCCTTCCTCCTATCTCATGATTCTGGTACAGCAAGCATCAAGTTCTGTAAAAACTACAACTGATAACTAAGGCAACTCCTTGCAAGGATGCATTGTCAAATTATAAACCCAAAGATTTCAACAAAGCTATGTTTTAAAAAGCCAATAAGCAATGTAACTCTAAGGTATATACAGATATTTAAGTGCAGAGCTACTTGTATCGCTTTATGGCACAACTGATAGCAAAGTTCACAGAATCACAGAACAGTTTGGGTTGGAAGGGACCTTAAAGCTCATCTAGTTCCAACCCCCCTGCCATGAGCAGGGACATATTCCAGAAGACTACACTGTTCAAAGCCCCCTCCAACCTGGTCTTGAACACTGCCAGTGATGGAACACCCACAATATCTCAGGGCAACCTTTTCCTCTCAAAAATATGTAATACCATGGAGTTTCAGAAGAATCTATTATTTTTTGCTGTGAAGATATGTATGCATGTGCTTGTGTACATATAGGTATGTATATATGTATATGCATTACTTAATTTTGAAGAAAAACGAAAGGGGAAGGAGATGCCCTTACTGGCAATGCAAATTCTCTGAATACTTTCCTCTGTACAGGTATTTTAACCCAAAAGCATCAAAACAGCTTTGTGAATGCTGAAAAGGGAGAAGAGACATTCATTTAACTCTTCTGTTCTGAACTCAATTTTCTTAATGGAGTATGGCATGATATTTTATGGTATGGAGTATTCACAGCATCACAGTATGCTAGAGATTGGAAGGGACCTCGAAAGATCATCTAGTCCAATCCCCCTGCCGGAGCAGGAACACCTAGATAATGTTACACAGGAATGTGTCCAGGCAGGTTTTGAATGTCTCCAGGGAAGGAGACTCCACAACCTCCCTGGGCAGCCTGTTCCAGTGTTCCGTCACCCTCACTGAGAAGAAGTTCCTTCTCAAGTTTAAGTGGAACCTCTTGTGTTCCAGTTTGCACCCATTACCCCTTGTCCTATCATTGTTTGCCACTGAGTAGAGCCTGGCTCCATCCTCGTGACACTCCCCCTTTATATATTTATAGACACTTATAAGGTCACCCCTCAGTCTCCTCTTCTCCAAACTATAGACACCCAGCTCCCTCAGTCTTTCCTCATAAGGGAGATGCTCCACTCCCTTAATCATCTTGGTTGCCCTGCGCTGGACTCTCTCCAGCAGCTCCCTGTCCTTCTTGAACTGAGGGGCCCAGAACTGGACACAATATTCCAGATGGGGTCTCACCAGGGCAGAGTAGAGGGGAAGGACCTCTCTCGACTAACCACCCCCCTTCTAATACACCCCAGGATGCCATTGGCCTTCTTAGCCACAAGGGCACAGTGTTGGCTCATGGTCATCCTGTCATCCACTAGGACCCCCAGGTCCCTCTCCCCGACACTGCTCTCTAACAGGTCGCTTCCCCAACCTATACTGGAACCTGGGGTTGTTCCTGCCCAGATGCAGGACTCTACACTTTCCCTTGTTATATTTCATCCAGTTATTCCCTGCCCAACTCTCCAGCCTGTCCAGGTCTCGCTGGATGGCAGCACAGCCTTCTGGCGCGTCAGCCACTCCTCCCAGCTTAGTGTCATCAGCAAACTTGCTGATAGTGCACTCAATTCCCTCGTCTAAATCGTTGATGAATATATTAAATAATACCGGTCCCAGTACTGACCCTTGAGGCACTCCACTAGTTACAGGCCTCCAACTAGACTCAGCCCCATAGACTACAACTCTCTGGCTTCTCTCCTTCAGCCAGTTCGCAGTCCACCTCACTACCTGATCATCCAGTCCACACTTCCTCAATTTAGCTGTGAGGATGCTGTGGGAGACTGTGTCAAATGCTTTGCTGAAGTCAAGGTAGACCACATCCACCGCTCTGCCATCATCCATCCACTGTGTTATTTCCTCATAAAAGGCTAAGAGATTGGTCAAACATGATTTCCCCTTGGTGAAGCCATGTTGACTGCCCCTCATAACCCTCTTATCCTTGATATGCCTTAAGATGGCACCAAGGATAAGGTGCTCCATCACTTTCCCAGGGATGGAGGTGAGGCTGACCGGTCTATAGTTACCCGGGTCCTCCTTCTTGCCCTTTTTGAAGACTGGGGTGACATTTGCTTTCCTCCAGTCCTCAGGCACCTCTCCCGTTTCCCAAGACTTGGTAAAGATGATGGAGAGCGGTCTAGCAATGACTTCTGCCAGTTCCCTCAGCACCCGCGGGTGCATCCCATCTAGACCCATGGATTTATGGATGTCCAGATTGCTCAACTGATCCCTAACCCATTCCTCATCGACTAAGGCAAACTGCTCCGTCGACCTGACTTCATCTAAGGTCTCAGGGGTACAGAGCTCTTCAGGACTGCCTGCAGCAGAGTAGACAGAGACAAAGAAGGCATTCAGTAACTCTGCCATCTCTGTATCTTCTGTCACCAGGGCACCCATCCCGTTCATCAGTGGGCCTACATTGCCTCTGGTGTTAGTTTTGATTCCTTTGATTAGTTTGGGTCAGCTGTCCTGGCTGCGCTCCCTCCTGGCTTCTTGTGCCCCCCTTTTCCCTGGCAGAGCATGAGAGACCTAAAAAGTTCATCATAGGTCTTATCAACATTATTCTCATACTAAACCTAAAACAAAGCACTATACCAGCTACTAGGAAGAAAATAAACTATATCTCAGCTGAAACCAGGATAAATAATAAAATTCAATTTAGAGAGCTTAATTTTATTAATGATCCAAAGAAAAGCCACAGAGATACACAAGTGTTATTTCAATTTTTTGCTGTTCTGTACTTTTTTCCTCTTTATACCACTTCAATGTGCAAATGCCTCACTTGGACTGTGCACTCCTCCACTGCAGAAGGACATCTAAAATATTAGGGAGGAATAACAGTATTATTTTCTTTATTGTTGGGCTAGATTGACAGGACTATTTTCTTATGAGTTGTTTTAAGAAACCATTCAGACCACACGACTTCTGAATAGTTCTTCTAGTGAAATGAAACCATTCTCCCTTCAAAAGTTAGGTGTACAATAGAAGAGAACACCCATGCAAGCAAAGAGCTCTGATTAAGAAGGGAGGGATGGATAAGGGACTGTACCAACAAAACCAAATAAACAACCACCCCAGTAAAAAACACTAACTGAAATTAAGTACAGTCTCCAAAGATCTCCACAGAGTATTTAAGGATTCTTTAACTGACTTTTAGAGACATTGTAAGAGGAAAAAAAAAAGTAGTCCCGAAAAGTACTTCCCTCCTAAACCTCTACTATACAGTGTCTCAGGACAAACAGTACTTAAAGATAATTCAGACCTTAGATGTACAGCTTCATAATCCATACTAGTTCGGTATTTAACACAACCTTCTTCCACTCACACTCACTATAAATCAAGCCACCAACCAGAACATACACTGCATTCCTAACAAGTATCTCATCAAAAGCAATTCAGTGTGATCCAAGGGTAGCATCACATGAAATTTACATTTAAAGACGACCACAAGGATCAAAAAATAATTTAGGGACTAAAAAGATATACTTACATCTGGATATTCTTTTACAGGCACATATAGTTTCTCTTGTAACTGTACAATAGGTCCCACAGCATCTGGTAATTCTGCACTTCTCTTCTCCGTACTACCATTTAATGTGTCGTTATACATGTCTTTCCGTACTCTGCTAATTTCTGTGGGGGGAAAAATGTATATTAGGTATTAAATACAGTAACAGATTATAATCTAGCATGACAGTCTTCCTCTAATCTTTCCCCAATCTTAATGCCACTTTCTTTCTCTCTACATAAGCATCATGGTAGCTTGAGAGAAAAAAAAAAAAAAAAATCTACTCTGGTTTTGTTTAGGTTTTTTTTGTGATTTCAGGGCTTTTTGTTTGTCTTCTTGTTTTGGGGTTTGGAGTTTTTTTTGGGAAAAGGGGATGCCATGTTTTGGGGTTTTAACTGCACCACAAATACCTTATTTCTGTAAATCTGCTGCCTATTTATACTGTTTATGAAATTCAGGTGTTTAGATAAAAATTACATGCAGCTCCTTAGAACTTATACAAGATTGTTCACATCATTTAAAAGGTGTATAAAAACAGTTTTTTTGCAATTTTTATAACAAAGCTTCTAGAAAGCAAAAAAAACCCCAAACTAGAAATCTATGCCTAACAAGAAATACAAAAAGCATCTATACTATCTGCTAGTTATGAGATTAACTATAGCATTTGGAAAAGAAATGGTGCACCGTTTAGCAGTGAGGAATCTGCCAACTCAAGGGTGCAGTTACTGAGTACACACAGTGACCAAAAAAAGTAAAATTGGTTCTACTGACTACCTCCCAAGAGATAATGAAAAAATGAAGACAAGTATGGCATCAGAGACCTAGGCAACCTCTATATACACCCGAAAGTCCTTCTACTGCATTGTAAAGTAACAAAAAACTCCTTGACAGCACTAGGGAATATCACAAATAGGTGCTTAACTACTGTTTCTATCAATGACACCTGTATTACCCACACCAATTTACTTGCAAGAGGGAGTTGAGTAGCTATAAACAAAGAAGTTCAAAATGGATAATCTGATTCAAATCCAGGTTTCTTTCACTAAACTGCAACAAACCAATAACTGACACAATGTTTTCTCTTATTTTAGGCTATACTTCATTCCTTGGTGCTCCAAGAACAAAAAAAAAAAAAATTAAATTTCATAATTCATGGAATCCCTACTTGTATAAAATGATATTAATAAGTTTATTCAAGTATCACTAGGTATTACTTAAGTGTATTAACCAAGCTGCCAAGTGAAAAGTAACATTTAAACAGCATTGTTCTCAAAGCATTACATCTTACAATACTGTGGGCTTTGCAGCAAAAACATGGATCAGTAAGTCCAATTTTTACTTCAAAATTGCTACACCTGCTTTCAAAATTTTCAGCACTGAAGTGAAACTGAAACATAAATTTTATGCTTTCATCTGACCACAGGAAGCCACAGACACAAGAAGTCGCACAAAACTGTAGCAGCAAACAAGAGATTAAAATAACCTATGTTTCATAACTGATTTCTTTTCTGGAAAATCATTTTAGCTGAGATTTCACCACTTGAAAAGCTAGGGGAAGAGAGGAAGCATCAGAAATGACAAATGTCCGAAATGCAGCAGACTTAATTTTCAACTGAGTTAGTCTGAATTAGTTCTAACAAACTTACTCTGCATACTCAAGAACAAGTTGTTTCTCTACTGGCAACTGACATACTCAATCATGTACACTATATAATAATCTGGTGGCTAACACCCGTTTTGAATGGAGAACACAAATCTCATCATCCCGTAATCATAGCACAAGAAAAAATCCACAGCTGCTTCTACACTGACAATTTTGGCAACAGGCACAAAATCCTCAGAACTACAAGCAGTATTTATACTGGCTTCAGTACATAAAGAATTTTTTTAGCACATCTCTTTGAACAAATATTATCTTTTGGCACACTTTGTTTCCTTTTCATTCTCTTCAGATTTTCTATTAACTTAGGCTACACTGAAACAAGCTAAGGCAGTCTGCCGAAGAACTGAAGCATAAGGAGCAACACGGTCATTTTTATTTATATTTGGAAGCTACAGAGTAGCTGCACCAAAAAAAAAATCATTTTAAACTGTATCTTTCATGTAGAATAGAATCACTAACATTAGATACCTTAGTTTTCACAGAAGAAAAAGAATACTCATTTTCATCTTTCCCTTCAAATACTCATACATCACATTCATGGCAGTGTAGAACCGAACATTCAGAACACATGTGGATGAGCATGATGAGCTGATTTGAGGACTACCAATGAATTACAGCTTGTGTGAAACCTAAGCCACCTATCATGCCTCAAATGTTGCGTAGAATGGAGACACCTACCAACTTCGGATATTCTACTCCACTACAGGACCAGACACACAGAATTTAGTTTTCATTGCATATGTAGGATTTTATCTTCTCTCCCTACATTCAAGCCATTGGTAACACTGACAAACATCAGGACAGCATCAGCCAGCTACATCAACGCAGTGTTATCATCAGCTCCTCAAGTGCTACTGTTTCTTCTGCTTCTTGGCAGTTTAACTTCTCTTATCTCAAGTATCTTACCCAAGAACTCAAGAGAAACACTCAGAAGCAACAGGTGATGTAACAAGCATGTATTCGCAGTTTAACTGTCAATGAGGTCTCCAAACTCGTCTACTATACAAGCCTCTCCTTTCACTTATCTTCTATTTAGCAGTACTGAAGGAGTACTGATCACATGTCCAGATCACCCATTCTCTCACTTCAAACTACAGATAGAAAACAACTCATCTTTCTTTCCAATCTGTTAGCACAGCCAGCCACAAGCACTCTTCAAAATACACAACTTTTGAAGCTACTTAATATGCATCCTGGGTTTTTCCAGATTCTGCTGAATCTTTTTTACATGTCTTCAAGATTACTCTTTTCTTCTATGACTAACAATAGTTTTCTTAGACACCTGCTTCTTGCTTTATCACACCTCTGGTGCTCGCAACAAGACTGCATATAAAAGTATTGAATTTTGATCACACTTTTACCATCCCCATTATGCCAAATGCAAGCTTATAGTCTCTTGAGTATCTTGCAACTTTGCCACTCACTTTAAGCAATATTACAGGTATCTACAGAAGTATCTGCTACTGTATTTCCAGCGCCTCCCTCAAGAGCTTATCAGGAGTGCAGGAAGACTCCAGAAAGCCTCACCAGCAGCATATTACAAAAACTCTAATCTCCTTTCACCTCTATCAAGTATCCATTTTATTACGTTCTGAAATACTTAAAAATACTTTAAAATACTTTAAAATCTGAGGCCAGAATTAGTACTGAAGTGGGAAGTTCACATCCTCAAAGCGCACCTTTTTACTTTTTTTACCATTAAATTCAAATATTAAAAATAAGAGAACAAAAGTAAACCAGACTTTTATTTACATTTATTTCACATAATTTCTTACACACTACTTAACAGATGTCTCATCTTCCCTTCCCAAAAGTTTCTTTGGCATATCTTTCATGAAATCACACGTTCATTTGCAAGACTCTAGTTCTTCCACATTTACAATTCTTTACAAATTCTTCCACCACGGTATCTCACAGGAAGCCAACTGATCCAAAAATAAGGACAGCTTTACTTTGAAAGTGAACACCTAAGTACAATTCTACTTTACTTCTATGTTAACATAGCAGTGGTTATTATCCTGTAGAACACATGGGGATTTAGAAGAGAGTTAATGAGTAGAAATACTTAATTATCATAGCAGATATAACGAAAAAGCATACAGCAGCTTCACCATACCTCTGAAACCTGTGAGCTCTGCAAATGCAGTTAATAGGTTCCTTTTGAAAAGATCCAAGTACCCATCTTTACTGTAGGCAGAAAGAAGCAACAACTCATATGAAGAATTTCAAAATCCACATTATTCACTTTTAATAATACTTTGGTCTATATGTTATAAGTAATAACTTTAGCAGTAAATGACAAATTTGTCTTCCTCACAGCAGTGCTTTTGAGGAATAGACTAAAAAAAAAACAGGACAAACTGATTTCAATAGTGTTATCTTGTTCCAAGTTAATATGGCATGACACCGTCAGTTATGGTGGCAATGAAATGCATTCTGGTCCAGGAGAGCATTTTTCATCCTTTGTCCCTGGAAACTATGCAAGTAATGCGATCTTTTGTTTCCATCATCTACAGCTAGTATTTTTCAATCTCTCCAACACTCAAGACTTGATCAGAAGCAGGACGCACTGTTTATACTGACTATGTTTGCCGACAGGGATGTACTTTTTTGATTTTTTCATGATACTTAAGGATAAAGTATTCTTCCCTTTTGAGGACATGAAGGACTACACTCAGATGAATGTTTGTCATCATATTAAAATACACTAAAAAGTTACTTCTTTTCCGCTGATCAATTACCGTTCCCTTAGAGGAAGTAAGGTTGCATGTATGTTGAAAGACTGCTGGACTGCAATATAAAATGGGTTTACATTTTATAATGTAAACTCAGCATGCATATTCCAAGTAGCAAATCACTGAAAAGGTTCAAATTCTTCCATCATTCTCAGAGCTGCAAACCACTCCAGGGCCCACAGCTCTAGAATTCTCAGCATGAAGGCTTCCTCTAAATTATGAATCTTTAACTTTTGAAGGAAGAGCTGACTTAACACCAATTTTAAACCAATGGATTCCCCACTAAAACTAAGAATTTGAAGAACTGAAACAAATTTTCTGATGCTATGCTCCGATTTGGCTACAGCTATTTAAAGAGAGATCATCAACTGATGCCACTCTCAGCCCATGCTCCTCTCCCAAGTCTAACACACCATTAAACCATCAGTGCACACAGAATTCTTTAAAGAAACTAAAAAAGCGTTTCTCTGTCACAGAAGAGACTCTTACCAATTATTCTTGATTTTTACAATACACACCAAATGGGGGTGGAGCAAACCAAACCCAATAGCTACAACTGGCAAAGAGATTCAAAATGAATCCAGAAACTAAGCATCTTGAAACACCAGCCAGCATACTTAAGGAAGCAGAGCACCCACACTTTTAGTTCCGCTGTTAGTGGAAACAAGGCAGTTTCCATATGAAAATAAGTTTTGAGCAACTTATGTTGGTTTCTTTATTAAAAAGT